ATACAAATTATGTACTGGCGAAAAACAGAACAAGAGCAATGGTAAAATGTCTTAAACCCGAATTACGGAAAGTCTACAATTCAGTCATAACAGAGCAACTACGCCGAGGATTTATTGAATAGGTAATTGATGACGATATCTCACGTGGCCATTTTATCCCGTATCACCCCGTTGAAAAACAGTCGTCAACAACTCCAGTTAGAGTAGTTTACAACTCTAGCGCTAAATACCATGATCAACCCAGCCTCAATGACTGTTTAGAATCCGGTCCTGCTATCACCAACGCCATGCTGGACATATTGCTTCGTTTCCGGACACATTGAAAAAGCGTTTTTAAATGTCAACCTTGCCGATGAAGATCGCCAATATACAAAGTTCTTCTGGCTACAAAACGCCGATGATCCTGAAAGTGACTTCAAAGTTTACCAGTTTAAATCAGTTTTATTTGGTTCAACTAGTTCGCCATTCATGTTGAATGCAGTTATTAAAACACACCTCGAAGCACAGTCATCGCAAATAGCCAACGATCTAAAGAACAATATTTACATCGACAACGTATTGACCGGAACTGAAAATCAGAAAGAAGTGATAAAGTACTACCGCGACTCCAAAGAAATAATGAAGAACGCCGGTTTTAATCTACGATCATGGGCAACAAACAACACAACACTTCATAATTTATTGAATAATGACAACGCTGCTGACAAATCAACGCTATTCAACGTACTCGAATTATGATGGAATACTTCCCATGATACTTTGCACTACTCGGACAATATCAGCAATCAACGTCACCTTGGCAACACTGTAACCAAGCGTGAAATCGTACGGTACACATCAAGTACATTTGATCTTTTAGGGTATCTGTCACCGGTGTATATCCACGCCAAGGCCTTCATCCAACAATTTCGGAAAAGTTTTGCTGTTGTGGAAAAGCTCAACTTTGGTAACGACGGATTAGTTAGATCAGCGGACGTTCGTCTTAAATCAGGCAGAACTAGTCGCCCATCGCCACAGCAGGTCGCTAATAACATAGCATCGCGCCCGTGTATAACTGCTGCTACTATCGCGAGACTACAATTTCAAAATCTCGCACGATGATCCTATTGCATCGTGTATCTGTGTGAACATTATTAACTCACATCATTTTTATCTTTGTTATAATTTTAAATTAGAAACAATTTGTGTATTGAGCTTTTAGTGTTTGCTTATAATTATCGTTTACCTTCTTGATTATTTTTGAATGTGTTTACTTAATAATTATTTGATCAGAATTTAACTCGCCAAGTATGCTATTTAGAACTAGTTTATTTCGATATCGTTTGAATTACCCCCGGTACTTTTGGCCGCCCGGAAAAATGTGGGAAACTATTTTTGTTTATTTTTCCCGTCGGGCGGACAGCGTCACTCTGTATGTTTATGTTTATACTTACTTTATACTCTATTTATGTTTGATCTTAATTATTGTAATCCTGTTAATTGATTTAATTAATCCCTGACACCTGGTCAACGCAATGTGTTGTTTTGGCGGCACCTTTCATGTGCGCTATATAATGCGTGACCATTTGCAGAATAGATCAGAGTTCTTTCAACCGTCAATCGAACGTCTCTCCGTGATATCGTCTTTCCCGACCACAGCCATATCATACAATGCCATGCTGCACAATGCCATACTGCACAATTACCCCCAAAAAAGTCTATTTGGATGTGATGTGATGTGAATAACCAAGTAAATCTATTTACTGTTTTAATGCAAGAAAAAAACTTTTCAAGTTCCCTTTAAAAAACTTCAGCTTCAAAATTTACTTTTGCTAAATGTGTTCTGAATTTGATGCATTCTAACAGCCTTCGGGGCAGAGCTACGTCACAAGATGTTTTTGGCGGCAAAGATGCACACCATTGTACCATGTATTTCTATGAGCTCTGTGCAAGCTGCTGTGAAACAACACAAACTCAACTTTGAAGTAATCCTGAGCAACTAAATTTATATGTTGCCAATATAGTGGTAATCTTTTTATACTGTTCAGGAAAGGCTCAACAACCAACTGAAAGTGGTCGGTTGAATGACATTGCCTTCATCTTTTTAGTCACTAGAGGGCGCTATTTTTAGAAATTGTGTATTAATGGTCTATTTTCAATTTAATAAACTGATTGCTGTAAATGGCTGTACATGCATTTCATATTTTTATGGTTTTATACACCAAATCCAAAAACTTGGTTACTTTTGAAGATATATGTATAACTATAATACACTGTTTTTTCTGTAGACACATTGAATGGTCATTACTGGTATTCATATATTAGTGAATGTAACTCGTAACAAATATGGAGACAGAAGACTCAAAATATAGACTGTACTTTGTGCAAGTGTGCGTATGCCTATTTGGAATGGCATCATGGCTAGATATCAATGGCGTATGGGTCCAGCTTCCACTGATGATAAATGTCCTGCCTGAAGGATGGGCTCTGGCATCATACCTCGTTCTGATTATTCAAGTTGCGAATATTGGTCCACTCTCATTTTCTATAGTTAACAAGTTCACTAAAAAACGAGTTGAGATACCAACCAACTACCTCATCATATGCATTGGTATAGTGGCGTGTTTGTTATTGGCTCTACTCTGGGATAAAACTATTTACGTAAAAGGCAAAGAACACAGCATGGCTTTGATAAGTTTGAGCGCTTTCCTAGCATTGGTCGACTGTACCTCGTCCGTCTCTTTTTTAGCATTCATGACTGTATTCTCACCTATGTTTATGACGTCATATTTCATTGGTGAAGGTATGAGTGCATTTGTACCAAGTATACTTGGTCTACTGCAAGGTTCCAGTGGCAATCCAGAGTGTGTTAACATCACCTACTACAATGAAACAACAAACACAACATACTATGAGCAAGATTACTACAACTCTCACCCCAGATACTCAGTGGAAGTATATTTCCTACTGCTTGCTGGGTTGTTGTTGACCAGTCTAATGGCATTTACTCTGTTAGTGCATCTTCCATTCATCAAACAATTCCATATAGGTCCCTCTGCAAGCTCTCCACCAAAAGAAGACAATTCTCAACCTGTCCGAGATCAAAAATCTTCTGAAGACTGTTACGATACATGGAATGTTGTGCTTAATCCAGCCAACATTTATGAAAACAAATTAGATGATGATAGGTCTATACTAAAGAGAGCTGTCGAAAATTACGGCAGTACGGATGATTTGATCCATAAACGTGTTGAGGAACGACAGATTATGATGAATAATGGCTCGAAGATATCAAAACTTCGTAGATTAGACTGGTGGTATTTGTTAATAATACAAGGGTATTGTTGCAGTCTAACAAATGGAATTATGCCTTCTATTCAGTCGTATTCCACCCTACCCTATGGTAACCTAGCTTATCATTTAGCAATTACCTTAGGATTAATGATGATACCAACAGCTAGTCTGTGTGTGCATTGGTTGCCAGCAAAATCTAATATCTCAATAGGAATTCTCACTGTTATAGGAACTGCTGTAGCATGTTACATCACGGCATGTGCTGCAATGAGTCCATATCCGCCATTATGTGGTAGTCCATGGGGAGGGGTAGTATCGGTGAGTGAAGTGTGTTTTTGAATTATTGGTATATTAGTAGACTGAATAAGTAGCCATTATATCACATTCATTTCAAGAAAATAAAATTGTTGGCAATAAACTATAATTTTACTATCATGTTAAAATACCAATTATTAACGCATCTCCTGCAGACCCTGATTTTTCCAATTTATTTTGACTTTCCAATGTAGTTTTTTGTTGGCAATATGTTAATATCAATTGGAATTAATAATAATGAATACAAAACAAAACAAAAACACTAATGAAAAAAATGTTATCACTAGAAATTCTAAGAATTGAGAAGGTCATTATGTGACTTCACTATCTAGATGTTGCTGTAAAACAGATTCTTGTATATTAGGATTGGCATGGATTTATTGCCTAAGATAAAGCTGGGATTTATTTGTTGGAAATTTATAGATATATTTCCCTACTTCCAGGAATAAAATGTTTCATTGTAGAGCATATATACACAGGGCAAGACATCACAAAATGTTGTTTATATTGTACTACATTGTGTTACAAAAAAAATATAATTTCATTTGCTGATATTCTATTTCAATTCTGAGTGAATGATTATTTAGATTAAAATTAAATAGTAATTCCTGGAGTTTTCAGTTAATCCTCTAAACCATTAAACCCTACAATAGTGACTATTCAATAGTTTCTTAGTTTATTTTTTTATTACCTTTTCTCCCATTATGTATATACTAGTAATTTCTCCAATGTGTTGGAAATGTATTTTTTATTTTAACAATACACCTTTCCTTTGCAGGTCATAGCATGGTTATTATTTAATTTCATAATCACTTACATCAAAGTCTCTATTGGAGGAATATTACGTCATGAAGGAAGAAATGCTCTTATTCTGTACGGCGGAGTGACACAGATTGGGTCCCTATGTGGTGCGGTTCTCATATTCCCACTGATTAATATACTACATCTATTTGAGCCAAATGATCCTTGCATATTTATCTGTTATTAAATTAATGGACATATATTAATGTACTCAATGAACTATTTAAAAGTATTTGAATATAATGTAATAAACGCATTGATACAATATAGCATTGGATGTCACAGTGTTTACATTTTTTCATACCATCATGCAAATATGTTATAACAAATATCGCTCACTGATCAACACTAGCTCGTACTCTGCATCCTAGTAGAGTTACTGTGTCTGCCGTGACAATATTGCCTATAAGTTGCTTAATTAACAGGAACAGGTACATGGAAGCAGCAAACAATTCCTTATTTTATGGAAGCTTGATATTTATTAATTATTTTTAGTGTTCTTTGATACTTTATATTGAAAGATACTTTGTACTATGATTTATCCTGAACTGATAACTCTGTTCTTGTACACATATCTGAGTATTTATTCAGGAATACAGTAAAATTCTTTAATATGCATGTGCACTGGTGCATACTAAATCACTGCACATGCATATTTGTCATCTAATGAATGCTGCTGTGTGTGTGTGTGTGTGTGTGTGCAACATTTTTATGATAAATCATAATTTGATTTGGTTTACAGTATGGAGCATTGAACAACAATATTAACAAATGTATGTTTTTTGCATATTTAAACAAAGAGCAGACATTTTTAATTCAACATTCAAGAACGATTGAACTTTAAACATTTTCATTTGTTTCTCATGTGCTGTATCATACAAATTTCAATAAAACTTGGTATATAGATGTCGGGGATAATGTGCAATGTTAATTAGTTTTGGTTGAAATTCTGTGCATATCATTGACCTAGTTTGCATAATAATTAGCCAATTTTAAGCATTGTCACTTGTTCCTCAAGTACAATTCAATAGATTTTATTGAAATATGGTACATAGACACTCTAGGATAATACTCAGACATAATATTTTGATTGAAATTCCATGTATATTATTATGCATATTTGCATATAAATTAGTCAATATTTCACCAATACCTCAACCACTCATCAGATTCAATGAAACTTGGTACATAGACATGTAAAATGCTTGGAGATAAGCCATGTACATGTTCAGTTTAGGGTTAAATTTGTTTACTTACTAATTACCTAATTTGCATAAATTTACCAATTTATAGGTGCTCTACAGATATTTTGTGTACCACTGATCAAATGTAAATAAAACATAGGTGCCACAAATCTGATTACTTCAGGGTTGAACATTCATGCATATTAATTACTTGTTATTAGTTTCATGTTTGTTTCTTAATATGCATAGGGACATGCAATCTGTACTGTGCTATAATGTTGTAGTGTGACAAGATATATGACAAAATATTAAGTCATATATGGTCATTATTTCATTAAATACATGTATTTATAATTGTTGAACCATAGCTACTTGGAACCACCCTAATTATTTTCTCTATTGGAAGCACATGTGCCTACTGCAAAAATAAAGGACAAAGACGAGTCTATGGTCAAAATAAGACATATTTCAATGATTGTGCATGTAATAAACACAATGCTTTATGTGTAATGAAAATGGGCTTCTAATATAATAATAAATACAGTATTCCTTAATTGTTTTTCATGGTTCCAATACCTTCTGCACACTGGATTTTTTTCTAAGTTTTCTTTCATTCTGTATCGGTGTATGCACAGAAACAGGTTGCAGATTAAGCTAGCTAGTTTTAGACTGATTTTATTGAAAAATTTTGCCCAAATTTGATGTTCATTTCAATAATACATTGGTAAAAGTCAGTTCTAGTTGCAGTATCTAGAATTTTATACTACCAGCATGTACATTTCAATTCGGTTGTGACTAGTTCGGTTGTGGCAATTTCATTCTTTTTTTATGATATTTCCTCCTTTTTGACAAGAGTTTTGCACTTTTTGATGAAATTTGATGGGCTAATGGGCAGAATTGATTAGATTTTGGTTTAAATCCATGCATATTAATTATGTAATTTGCATGATGATTAGCTAATTTTTATCTGTTTTATTACTGTTCTGAAGAACCACTCATTGGATTTTGATGAAACTTGGTATATAGATGGTCTGGGACAATGCACTGATCTGATTAGTTTTGGGTTAATATCCATGCATATTAATTACCTAATTTACATAGTTAATACATTTGTGGCTTTTCGGCTGATATTTCAAGTACTAATCATTACATATCAATGAAACTCAGTACATGGATGCTGTAGGACTATGCACATAATAAATTAAATTAGCTTTAAAAAAAAATTGTGCATATTAATCACCTAATTTGCATAATGATCAATTATTGGCTTTTCCATCGATATCTCAAGTTCTAATCACATTTCAATTCAGCTTGGTGTATTTATGGTCTGACATTAGTTTTACATTAAAATTGTGCATATTAATTATCTGATTTGCATAACAATTAGTCAGTTTTCAGCTTTTCCATCAATATCACATGTACTTGAGAACCCTGGGCGCTATTAACATGTTCCACTACGGTATCTTATTTCAATGAATGTTGGCACAAAAATACTCTAAGACAATGCAACAATTCATTACAACCAACTGCTATGCCATATTACTATCCGATTATTAATTTGTATTTAATGGGGAATGTAGTCTGACGCCATGATCAATATTTATCAATTAAGTTTCAGTGGGTGGGGGGGGGGATTAAGTTTTTTATCCTACATTGTAATTGACTTCCGTGTGCGAAGCATAAAAAGGGAGTCTTTGCAGTTAGTGTGTCCGTATGTGTGATTTGATTAGTTTTGGGTAAAAATCTGCGCAATATTAATTGCCTAATTTGCATAATGATTAATCAATTTTCGGCTTTTCTACTGATATCTCAAGTACTAATCATCACATTTCAATAAAACTTGGTACATAGATGTCATAGGACACTGCACAAACCTGATAGTTTTTAGGGTAATACATGTATCAGTAGACATTAATTACCTAATCAGCATAATTAATTAATTTTCAGCTTTTGATATTTCAAGTAGTAATTGTCACATTTCAATGAAACTTGGTACA